TTTTTTTTTTTTTTTAAGTAGGCTTCACACCCAGCACAGAGCTCAACATGGGTCTTGAACTCATGCCCCGAGATCAAGACCTGAGCTGAGATCAAGTCTGACGCTCAACCAACTTAACCACCCAGGTGCCCCAAGGGATGAGTTCACTTTTAAAGAGAACCTCTCTCAGCAATATATAAATCCATATTGATCAAATAACTTTAAAACTGTACCTAAAATGAAGTCTATCTATTTTTATTTTTTAATTTTATTTTTTTAATTTACATCCAAGTTAGTTAGCATGTAGGCAACAATGATTTCAGGAATAGATTCCTTAATGCCTCTTCCCCATTTAGCCCATCCCCCCTCCCACAACCCCTGAAGCCAATCTATTTAATTTCACCTGTTTTAGAACGCAGATTCCCAGTAGCAAGAAGATATTCAAATGGTTTTGTAAGGTCTGTTCCCATATTAAAAATCTTCATCAAATTTTCAGTGTTTATGGACACATTGGCCTTCTGAGCCCTCTTGTCTAGAGCAATTTTTATAGACACTAACCAAGCTTCCATTTTTTCCTGAAATAAAAAAAATTTAAACTATTACATTTAAATTACTCACATTTCATACTTACTCCCACATAGTAATCCCATGTCCATAACAAAGGCCCACTGATTTATACATTTGACATGGAGAACGTCTGGTCTATAAGCCTGAAAAACAGTCTTTAATCACACTATTCCTGTTCAGGCAGAAGCCACAAACTCCTGCATATCAAGGTTTCTCAACCTCAGCACCACTGACATTTTGGCTAGATAGTTCTTTGTAGTGAGGGGCCAGGCCCTGCATGCAGGATATTTAGCGCTATCCCTGGCCCTGACCCACGGGATGGCAGTAGCATCCTGCAAGCTGTGACAACCAAAAATGTTTCCAGGCACAGTCAAATGTCCCTTGGAGTGAGGCAAAAACTGCTCCTAGTAAAGATTATCCACATTCACGAAAAGAATCAAAAGTTTGCTCTGGGAGGAAGCGCCTGGGTGGCTCAGTCGGTTGAGTGTCCGAGTCTTGATTTTGGCTCAGGTCATGATCTCAGGGTCGTGGGATCAAGCCCCGCGTTGGGCTCTGCTTGAGATTCGTTCATTCCTTCATTCATTCATTCATTCTCTCTCTCTCCCTCCCCCACCCCCACTCGTGCACACACTCTCTCAAATTAAAAAATAAAATGAAAACAAAAACAAAAATCACATTTGCTTTGGCTTTAGAAAAGTTTTTCATTAAAATGCTCTCATCAAGAAGTCAGAACAGGGGCGCCTGGGTGGCGCAGTCGGTTAAGCGTCCGACTTCAGCCAGGTCACGATCTCGCGGTCCGTGAGTTCGAGCCCCGCGTCGGGCTCTGGGCTGATGGCTCAGAGCCTGGAGCCTGTTTCCGATTCTGTGTCTCCCTCTCTCTCAGCCCCTCCCCCGTTCATGCTCTGTCTCTCTCTGTCCCAAAAATAAATAAACGTTGAAAAAAAAAAAAATTAAAAAAAAAAAAAGTCAGAACAGCTTCAACCCCAGAAACAGGCAACGAGAGCAAAGCTTTAAAGCAGCAGCCACTCTCTTAACAGTAAAAACTAAGAAGAGTCCAAGTCCCCAAATGACGCCCAACACACAAGACAGCTGACAAACTGGTAGGAAAGAGTGACACTCTCTTCTCCTGTAAGTCTGAAGCAAAATGGAAAAGAAGTGAGAGAGCAGAGTCAGAAAACAGGAAAGAAAAGCCACAGACCTGAGGACCAGAGACCCAGGTAGCAGCTCTGTGACCTAAGACAGGAGACCGGAGGAATGAGGACCGAAATGGTCTCTCCCTGGTAAGAGGTCTGCCTATTGCCACTTTGTAGTTAACTTGCTAAGGTGAGCAACTAGCATGGGGCACATACTGTAAGCTGGCACCCTGCATATTTATTTAAGCCTCACAACAAACTTTTCTTCAAAGAGCAGTGCATTATAGGACGACCTGGGCCCAATTTATTTCTGTCTTAAGAATTTTCCAGACTTTACAAAGGTAGCAGGTACAAAAACTCATTATGAAGACTGAGGTGCCGGCTTGTAATCAAACACACTTCTACGGAGAGACAAACAAACTATCACACTAAGTAGAATAAATGAAAATTATAAATAGCCTCCCGTCAGTGCAGGTCAGGTTCTCCCGCCAACTCGCATTTTTGGAGTTCTAGCACTTTTTGACTTTAGAAATGCAGTCGAGTGACTGGAGACCTGTATGTAAGGCCTGCACACAACAGCGCAAGAGAAGTGAGAAGAGGCCTCTAAGAAGCCTTCCTATGAGGTCCCCAGCCTTTCTGGTAAAAGGTTCAGGGGTATAAAGCTGAGCAGACAGTGCCTCTGGCAGGGAGGGCAGACACCACAAAGGACGATGAACAGCGTTCACCAGAGCTGTTCTAAAGTTCAGAGAGGGCAGCTCTTCAGTATCTCTCGCTCCCTATTAAGAAGCCCTCAGAACCAAGCACGGAAATCACAGGACACCTCAATCTCTGCTGTGATATTCAGTGAAATGGCTACTAAGTCTGTAGTTCGGATTATGTCACTGTCCTGTACCTTCCTGAAGATTCTTACTGTGTCCCAGAGTCAGGGGTTCAGAAGCTTAAAACAAAGCTGGTATAAAAGTATGGAAATCTGGGGCGCCCGGGTGGCTCAGTTAACTATCTGACTTCGGCTCAGGTCATGATCTCACAGTTCGTGAGTTTGAGCCCCACGTCGGGCTCTGTGCTGACAGCTCAGAGCCTGGAGCCTGCTTTGGATTCTGTGTCTCCCTCTCTCTCTGCCCCTCTCCTGCTTGCTCTCTCTTTCTCTCTCTCTCTCTCTCAAAAATAAATAACATTTAAAAAAAAGTATGGAAATCACACACGTTTGGCCAGTTACATGTTATCATTAATGTTATGACCGAGACTTGATGTTGCCTTTAACCTCTTAGAAATATTAAAGAAGTTTCTGAATTTGGTATAAACTTAAGATCTTGGATTAAATCCCTTACTGCTGAACAAACAAAAAATTAAAAAGGCAGGCTAACGTAAAGTGCCGAAACTACAAATTGCAAACACGCAGAAAACAGTGCTACCGGAAACCATCTCACCATTCCACAAGAGGGCCGACTGGCCCAAGGGTGAAAGCAGCAAGCGTTTACCTTCAGAAACATAAGGAAGAGCTGACCAGGTGTAAGGACCTCTTGATTCACTAAACTGTCAGGATTCTCCTCCATGCACTCTCCTTTGGCTAAAGCAAAGAGCTTCCGAGTCATGAGACAAAGCATGTAAAACTTTTCAGTACTGGATTTCAAGTGGATACAGATGCACTGGCTGTGTCAAAACAGAAAGCAAAGCTTAAAACGACTGAGCTGCTACTAGAACTTGATGTCCTACGAACCCAGGTTCCCGATTCCCGTTTACTTAAAAGTTCTTACTCATTTTTAAAGACAACTGCTTTTCCTCTTTACTGGCAACATTAGCAAAAGGACAGTACATACTCACAGGGTCTAGAGCTGTGCTGGACCACATGGCATGACATGCAGAATGTGGCTATTTAAATGTAAATTAATTACAACTAAATAAAATTAAGAATTCAGTTTCTCAGTGCCACTGGCCATTCAGGTGTTCAACATGTGACCTGTGCCTACATACTAATTTAAACGCTAGTAACTGTACATGGTTATATAACAGAGTCCTTGCCTTGGAGAAATAAAGGGACAGGATGCCTACAACTTTCAAATGTTACAGGAAGAAAAATGCTGACCTACGTAAAGAGAAATCAAGAGAGCAAACGTAATAAAAATGGTAACAACTAGTGAATGTGAAGTGTCCACGGTACTATTTTTGCAGCAATTCTGGAAGTCTGGAGTTGTTTCAAAATAAAAGTTTAAAAGCACAATAAAAGAAAACGAAACTACTATAGAAAGAAAGGTGTGGATGGCCAGAGGAACAGAGCTGGGCCCTGCTTCCTTAGACCAGAATGCTACCCCCAGGTCCATTCTGATTCCCAGATGACTCATAGCCCTAACTACAACCTCCCGCCCCACAGACAACCGTTTAGGCAAAAGCACGTACTTAAACAGAAACTCTGCAGCCTGTTCATTTGGGTACCAGTCAGGGAGACTGAGCTTCACTCTGAAGCATTCACCTAGATAATTAAGGACCTGTTTTTGTGTGGAACAACCCTCTTCCGTTACGATCCTTAACATCTGAGAAATGGAGTTCCTAAAGAAAGAGTCCTCCTCTTTGCCTTTGATGAGCTCCTGAAAAATCTGGTAATCGGAGAAGTTGACAAGTGCCTAGAATAGAAGAAAAAAACAAAAAACAAAAAACCAAGGTTTTCTTTTTAATCGCTAGTCATAACTAAACAATTTTAGCCATTCTATTTCCCTAGGAAGATTTAGCACTCCACTACTGGCAAATCCAAATGAACTCTCCAAAACAAAGCATGGCTTGTATGGTAAGACAGCAAGATGGCCCCATCATCATCCTTGCCTTCTGGTATTCACAGCCTTGTAGAGTCTCCGCTCACACTAAGTCAGCACTGGCCTGTGTGACCAAGACAACATGGTAAAAAAGTTGATGTGTGATTCTCAAGGTCAGGTCCCAAAAGGGACTGTGGCTTCGGCCTCACTCTCCTGGCTAACCCTCTCGGGGAAGACAGCCGCTTCCAGCAGCCTGTGGAAAGGCCCACGTGCACAGGAACCAGGACCTGCTGCCACCAGCCTGCAATGACCTGCCAGCCATGAGTGACCACCTTGGAAGTGGATCCTCCGGCCCTACTGGCCTTCTAAATGACTGCAGCCCCTGCTGACATCTCACTGCTACCTCCAGAGACCTTGAGGCACAAGTGCCCCAAATCCCAGCCACTTCCAAATTCCTGACCACAGAAATAGTGAGAGAGGAATGGTTGTTGATATTTTGAGCCACTGCATTTTGGGTAATTTATTTTGGAGCAGTGCACAGCTGATACAGCCATCAATTCCACTCGGGAGAACTTATCCATTCTGCACAGAATGTGACCTCCACTGAACCTCTTCATAGCAAAAGAAACACATCGTTAAGTCACACCTTCAGTGCAAATCCCAAAGGAAGGAAAAACAGTTCTTTCCGGTAAATAAAGTTCAACATAACCGTGCCATTTTCCAGGTAGTGAAGGTTCATGTTGACAGCAGAATGTTCTTCCCTTACACAGTGCATTGAAACTCCTATAGAAACAAAGCAAAAAGTCAAAAACTCAGTAATACTGTAACTGCTTTGATAATTACTTTTTTCCCTAAATTATTTTTAATCCTCTTAAAAATAGAGCCAAATCACTAAGGTTAGCCAAGACTGGCAACCAAAAATGTCTCCAGACCTTGCCAAATCCCCTAGGGCACACAATCTCCCTAGGCTGAAAACCACTACAAGTAACTGAAACTACAAATTTAATGAAACTTCAAAGTTTCCTTGTAGAGCTGGGTCCGTGTGTTATAACACGTTATATCGCGAGCACCTTGCAGAGCCTCATCATACAGACTTTATATCCCCTGTACTCTGTGGAATCTGATCAAGAGAAAATGGCTTCATCCAAGAGTCCAAATGGAGAACAGCAGAATTTTAGATTTTGTTTCAGCTTTAAACAAAGACTGGAACAGCATTCCACATCAGTGATGCAAAAGAATAAACGACTAGCCGTTTTGACTTGCTGAGATGCTATTATTCTAGGGATAGTATATATGGCTATCATTAGAGGCTGATTTTTAGCTCAATTATAAAAACAAGTTATTCACTTGCAGGGTTACCCAAGAATGAAAATGTTGTCTTATGAAGTCAGGCTCTGTCACAGTGAGCACTCAGAGGCCAGGTGGCTGTCAGCCAGGGACTCCAAGAGGAATGCCATGGAAGAGGAAACCTACATAGGAGACTTCTGAGGCCCACACCCCCCCTCTGGTTGAGTCAGGCCAGCCTTCGTCTCCATAAGTAAGAACATCAGTACATGCATTCTTTCTTTCTTTGTTGTTAAATGTTTATTATTTTTCCGAGAGCAGGAGACAGAGGATCCAAAGCAGGCTCTGGGCTGACAGCAGAGAGCCCAATATGAGGCTTGAACCCACAAACTGCGAGATTATGACCTGAAATGAAGTCAGATGCTTAACCGACTGAGCCACCCAGGCGACCCATACATGTGTTCTTTCAATGTGAAAAAAATGAAACATAATAAAAGTAGGCTTCCTGCTATAACATGCTTACTAACTTAACAGAAATGCTTACTAGAAAAACAAAACTTTTCTAAAAGAACATTCCAAAGGTCACTATAACTTACCATACTGAGTATAGCCAGGCCCTCTGGTTTTCCATTTTGGTCTTACCATTGCAATGGGGAAATTTCTCCGAGGCATAATTAACATTCGGATGACTTTTTCAATGCCATTGATTATAAAATAGCCTCCCATTTCCTGCCGAACAGATGAATTATAATTTGTTAAACAAAGATACACTGTCAACATGAAGATAACTGCCAGACGCAGTGCAACGTGCAGAAGAGGCACGCAGAGGCGAAAGGGTCTACAGGTCCCCTGGAAACTTCATGGAAACTGTCAGTGTGTGAATTAAGTCTTCTCTCAAGTGCACTAAAAAGGTTCTAGGGACCTGGCAGAAAAGTATGGAAGGATCAGGATACTTTCTTCTACTAGACAGACTCGAACTAACTTGCCCCTCTGTCCCCCTAAAATGATTTCATGATTTAGTCTTCAAATGATATTTAAAAAAAAGAAAAAAAAAACCTTACTTGAAAGAGATAAGTGATAATAGCCATTTTGCTTCCAGGTGAATATGGTTCCCAAATAAGTTAAAAAATTTTGACTGTACAAAAACTCTGGAAACCAGAAATTCAGATTAGCTAAAGAGGAAACTGTTTTTCATTGTTCTGGTATCACATTTTTTTTTCTTAACTAAAAAAATTTTTTTTCATGCTTACTTATTTTTGAGAGAGAGAGACACAGAGAGAGAAAGAGAGAGAGACAGACAGACAGAACACGGGCAGGGGAGGGGCAGACAGAGAGGAGAGAGAATCCCAAGCAGGCTCTGCACTGTCAGCACAGAGTCTGATGTGGGGCTCAAAGTCACAAACCGTGAGATCATGACCTGAGCTGAAACCAAGAGTTGGACACCTAACTGACTGAGCCACCCAGGTGCCCCTCTGGTATCATAGTTATATAATAAATAAAAAGCTACTACACATTGATACTATGAAGCAGGTATATCATGCTGGGTGCTCTATGTTACCAGCCCCATTAATCCTCATAAGTGGCACAGTTATTATGCCCAAAAGAGGAAACTGAGGCGCAGAAAGATGAAAATTCCCATGGGGCGCCTGGGTGGCTCAGTCGGTTAAGCGTCCGACTTCAGCTCAGGTCACGATCTCGTGGTCCGTGAGTTCGAGCCCCGCGTCGGGCTCTGGGCTGATGGCTCAGAGCCTGGAGCCTGCTTCTGATTCTGTGTCTCCCTCTCTCTTTGCCCCTCCCCCCGTTCATGCTCTGTTTCTCTCTGTCTCAAAAATAAATAAA